AAACAGCAAGAAGAAGAGCAAGAGCCGAAAGACGATGATAAACAGCAAGAAGAAGAGCAAGAGCCGAAAGACGATGATAAACAGCAAGAAGAAGAGCAAGAGCCGAAAGACGATAAGGTGAAAAATTCAATGACTTAAAAAAAGAAGCGGCAGAAATTTGTGATAAGATAATGGCCGCGGAAAATTTTGAGGAGAAAACTGTCGGAGAATGGTTTAGACGACTAAAAACATATTGAAAGGGTGGAAGCCTTAAACGTTATGGATGAATTGGGTTTTGAAGATTATTCCCCACTGATAGATATAACAAGGTCCTCAATTGATAAAGCGGAATTTAAAGAAAAACAAAAACAACTTCTCACCCAAACCTCCTCCTCTTTTATTAAAGATTTAGAAGCAATAGAAAGAGATGATTAATATTACCAAAGAAAAAGATTATTAAATGCCTTATAAAATTGGTTTGGTGGGTTTGCCAAATGTGGGAAAATCAAGTTTGTTCCGTTTGCTAACGAAAAAAAATATTCTCGTGGCTAATTATCCGTTTGCGACTATTGACCCTAATGTTGGGATAATGAGTTTGGACGACCCACGTTTAACTAGGCTAGGGGAGTTTTGGCAAAGTCGTAAAATTACTCCTAGTCAAATACAGATTATTGATATTGCCGGCTTGGTCCGGGGGGCTTCGCAAGGTTCCGGTTTAGGTAATGAATTTTTATCGCACCTTCGAGAAGTCGATTTAATTTGTCAGGTGCTTCGGTGCTTTCCCGAAAAAGAAATAATTCATGTCGAAAATTCAGTTGACCCAATTAGAGATTTTTCCACTATCCAGTTAGAATTAATTTTGGCCGATTGGCAACAAGTAAACCGAAAATTAACCAAATTAAAAATCCGTGACGAAAAGTCGCAAAAAGAGCAAGAGATTTGTCAATTAATCGCGGCTAATTTGGAGAAAGAAATACCAGTTAGCCGCCTGGATTTTTCTCCGGAAGAAAAAGCTCTAATAAAATCTTATAATTTGCTTACGGACAAACCATTTTTTTTACTGGCTAATTATAGCGGAGACCGGAGCGAGATTACGGAGTTAGAAGAATACGTTCGCACTGAAAAATTAACCTTGTTTCCTTTACCTGTTAAACTACAAGAAGCAGCCTCCAAATTATCAGCCCAAGAACAAGAAGAGATTGGTTGCTTGCCGGCTGATTTTTCCGTTTTCTCCGCCCAAGTCAAAAGTTTATTAAAATTAAAAACTTTTTTCACTGTGGGCGAGGATGAAACGAAAAGTTGGCTAGCGTCCGAGAATATCACCGCCCGTCAGGGGGCGGGATTAATTCACTCGGACCTGGAAAAAAATTTTATCAAAGCCGAGATCTATAATTATACCGAGTGAAACCAGTTATCTAACGGGGAAAAAAATAAGCAACTTCACCAAATCCGCCACGAAGGAGCCAATTATGTCATCCAAGAAGGAGATATTTGTCACTTCCTTTGCCACAAGAGAAAAAAGTCTTAATTTTTGTTTTCTTGAAACTTTAAAAATCTTTTCTCACAAACTAGTCAATTTGTTAAAAAAACCAGCCAAAGCGCAATTTTACTACGAAAATTTACTTCTAAAAGAAATAATTGTAAAATGATAACTATAAAAGAAAGTTAATTTCTTTTTTGTGTAAATAACTAGTTATGACAATACCAGAAGAAAATATAACTATTCAAATTAAAACCAACGACGAAGATATTAATTCAACGAACTCAACGCAGGGAGGAGAAGATTCGTTGTCACGAGTAGAAAACCCAACCACCTCGGAAGCCGCAATTAGCGAAAGTTCGGAAAAGAGCAAGAAAGCAAGAGAAACAAAAGCACGAACCCATGCTCATTCCCGAAGTCTTTCCGTGGATGCTATGCTTGCTCGTCGTAAACCAGAAGAGTTAAGCAACGAAGTGAGAGGTCGTATAGAAGAGTTAAAAGCACAAATAAAGAAGAAGCAGGATAGCGGGGAGTATAATGATGAAAATTATAGTTATAAAAAAAAGAACGACGACAAAGAATATTCCGTAATTTCCGATACTTTAGAACTTTTGGATAGTTACGACTGAGAAGAAAGAGAATTAGGGATGATTATAGCCGAAATAATTATTGCTGAAAAGTCAGAAAATTTAGTCAATTCTTTACCTTTGTTGAGAAATAATTGTATAAGTAAGCATTATTGATTGTTTAATTGAGCGGATGAATATTGTCGAAAAGCCCGTGCTGTTGCTAGTAATAAATTAATACCAAAAACTCCCATGCCAACGGAAAGGGAAGTATTGTTTGAAAGTCGTAACGATGCTTTAACCAAAATTTTAGGGGAAGTAGAAAGTAAGTCGGGTTTTTTTTACCAGGATTTAACTTCTCTCTGCGGCAACGAAACTCTTAAAGCTAAGCTTGAAAATTACGAGCGATGATTTAAAGAATTAGCCTCCATAGTGGGTGGTGTCGGAAGCGAAGAAAAAATTTTTAAACTTTCTTCCAGCCAAGCAAAAATTTACCAGGGCGAAATTACTGCCCGGGTCCGGAAGTTTGTTAATGCTTCGGACGAGGAGAAAGCAAGATACTATGAAAAACTTTTAGCACTAGCCCAAGCCTTGTCTTTAAGTTGGGAACCAGCCGAAAACTGAAAGGAGGAGAAAATTGGAAAAATTGTTGAGGAAATTAATAAATTACGTGAGGAAAACCCAAAAATTACGGAAGAGTTAAACAGTTACAAAAAACAAATCCACGAATTTCTCAAAGCCGCTACCTTAAAAGAACTAGGTAAAAAAAGTGATAAGGCTTATCCTCTTGCTCTTGCCTTCTATCAAGACAAAGGCGAAAAACTTGTAGAAGCAATTTTTACTGGAAACGAAGAAAGAAACGACCTAAAAAAAATAGCAGACATTACCGAAAATATTAAGAATTGAAAAGAACAAATAAAAGAATCGGTACTTGGTCTGGGTGGAACAATAAGAAACAGGTTAAATAACAGGATTTTTGCTATTATAAAGAAGAGTGTAATTGGAAATTTGGAGGAAACGGGAATAAAAACAGACAACCCAGAAATAAAGGAATTATTAGAATTAAACGAAAACGAAAAACCAATTAAAAGTGAGGACATTATTAAAATTCTGGAAGAAATCCCTAAATTATTTAAAGAGTTAGGGGAATTAAAAGGGTTAAAAGCAAATCTAAATTTTACTAGTTTCGAAAAAATAAATGAGGAATTAAGGGAAATTATTTATATTGACAACCATTTTAAAGAAAAAAAGGATGCAAATCTGGAAAATACTCTTAAGACACTAAAAGAAGATTTAGCAAAATTAAAAGACGAACTAGAAAGATTTGAAAAAACCACGTCCTCGTCTGCCCAAGAACCGCTAGCCGAGATAATCAAAAAAATGTTAAAGGAAATAACTAAAAAATATAGTGATATAAAGGAGTTGGCAGAAGGGTTGGCAAAGAAAATAGGTATAGAAACGAAAGAAAGGACCACTTTTATTATCTGTCGAGACATTGAATTAAGAATTGAAGATTATAAAAGAAACTATTGGGTGGAATTCAAAAAAAAAATAGTAGAAGAAGAAGGAAGTAAAACCTTTGTTTGCCTTTCCGTTTTCGGAATAAGTATCACCATGATAATAGTCCTAATGAGAAAAATAAATAGGCTGCGGCGAACAATTGCGAAAATGGCAGAAAAAAAATAATGCTATTACATTATGCGAAATTGATGTCGGAGTAATTTCCTTTAAACTCCTTGCTATTCAAGAGTTTTTAATGATGAATTACTGACATTTATTTTGCACCTCATAATATTACAAAATGCAAAATTGATATCTGCCTATAATTTGTCCAGTTCTTAGTATTCAAGAGAGTTGGTTGAATAAATAACTGACATTTTTTTTCGCATAGTAAATAGTATTTATTTGGTTAAACCCGAGCGTCCTTGTTTTAAATTATTTTATAGGCCAAAAAAACAGCGAGAAATTTTCAGTTAGGGAACTGTTGCCAAGCAGCCAAGGCCGCAGTCTGCAAAACTGCTATTCGTCGGTGCAAGTCCGACCAGTTCCTCCAATACGCCCGTAGTTCAGCGGACAGAATGTTTGACTTCGGATCAAAAGGTCGGGGGTTCGAGTCCTCCCGGGCGTGCCAAAATTCCGTCTCAAAACTTAGTAAAATTAATAATTAAAGTTGAATAGCCTCGATAACTAATTTGCTCTGGTATTTGCAGGCAACAATTTATATGGTTATAGTGAACTTGCTCACAATGCGTTTTTCCTCAAATACTTCACTTGCAAAAAGAAAGTAAGTTTAAATATCAGGTCTTTCTCCCCTTTTAAATCTTTTCTTTTCCCGACAGAAAAAACAAGCACGTTAACCGGCGGGATTTCGCAATAACAATAAGAAGGCAGAATTAACAGATACTAATTTTTGGGACCACACAATTCTCCGTTAACTGATTATCTATTTCAGTAAGGGCTTGCTGTTTAGCCTCTTTTTCTAATGTAAATCCTTCGTATTTGCCTTCAGGTTTGGAGAAAATTTCCGGATACGTTTTCCTTTCTGGAAAAAAAATTTGTCTTCTGCTAAATGATATACTAAAAAATTCTTTTACTTTGGAGAAAGAAAGCGTTAATTCATCTGATTCTGAATTTTCTGCAGCCTGACGAATAGCACCCTTCTTTAATTTAATGTTCTTCAAACATGTTCCCTACTTTTCACTTCTGTGAAGAGAATGAAAGTGAAAAAATGTGGAGGTGATTATATACTATTTACTGTTACGCTATTCAAATTAAATTTCTTTTTTCCACTTCACTTTAAACACAGTCAAAACGGATATTAATTTTGCATAATGTAAGCGTAAATATCTGCTATTGGAAAAAAATTGTTAGTTTAATTTTTTGGTTTACCAACCAGATTTTTTATTGCCTCAAATTTCCCTCCGGTTTGGGTAATTTTTTCTTGGGCCGAACGGGAAAAAATTGCGGCTTTGATAAGTAATTTTTTAGTAAAATTCCCTCCCCCTAATATTTTTACGGGAGATTTTTCCCGCGTAAAGTCTATTATTTGTCCGTTAGCCACTCGCTCGTCTTTTTCTAATTCGGATAAATTAATTATTTGATAAACTTTCTTAGGTCGAAATCCTCCCCCTCGTTTAGGAAACCGCAGCGTAACTCGGGTTTGTCCTCCTTCAAAACCTCAATAATTATGAGGACTTTTGCGGGAATTTTGTCCTTTTTGCCCTCGTTTACAAGTTTTACCGTGACCCGAACCCGGTCCGCGACCAACCCGATCTCTTTTTTTCACTAAGGAAACTAAATAATTGCTATTCATTTTTATTTTATTTAATGGTAACATAACTACAAGTCTGCCTAGTTCCCAACTCAAACCTTTTTTAATGGAGTTAGCGGAAATCAAACAAGTTAAACCTGAGGACTTGTGAGAATTTTTAGTTGA